TAAAAGTTAACTTTTGAAAAAGATTCAGGAAAACAAATAAATTATGGAAAAAGATTTCCCTTTCCTGAATTTGTTATTTTCTAAATACATTATGGAATGTATTGTAGGTTTATTTTATATTATTAGATTAGATAGATTAGATGAGCTTTATTGATCTCACAGCGGAGAAATTCACTGGTCACACATTGGCATAGTAATTAAAGAAGGTGCAAACAGGAGGAAAAAGGTGCAATAAGAATAAACAATACAGTATATCAAGATAAATAGGATTAAGGTGCAAGCGTACATGTATCATACACAATGAAAAACAAAATAAAAATAAGAAATAAAAAAATAAAAAATACAAGGGAGTAGAACAGAGATTTGAGGTGTCATATGTACACTCAGGATGGCTTATATACAGGTGGATTGACTTTTACATTAAAGTGTAGTAGGTAAGGAGCAACGGAGAGGTAGTGGTATGACTATTATATTCACATATATTGCGCAGTCAGCATATTGCACAGAATATTGCACAGTCAATAAAAAAAAACTATAATATAGCTGCACAGTGGTTTTTACAGGAGTTATTGTGGTTATAGTGCATTATTATAGAGTCTGGTGGCAGCGGGAATGAATGACCTGCTGTAGCGCTCCTTCTTACAGACAATATTATTTATTATCTGCCTGTTTGTATTAAAAAAATGTAATCAGATGTTCTCATCAGTTACATTATGTAGCCAATCAATCAAATACACTTTAATCCTTTTTTACGACTATTTTATTCTTGAAGTTAAATGAAAGACTGTTTAGTGAGGTGTTACTCTAACTTAAGTATATAACGTGGAGGTGCGTTAGTCACTTTTGTGCTTAGAAACATGATGTGTTCTTAGATGATAATAAACTCTTTTCAATATTTATGTTCAGGCATGAAGCTGGAAAACGAGGATGAGCAAATAGTGGTGTTGAGAAAAAAGTGTGAGAAATAGTTTTAAATTATAAAGTAGAAGTTTGCATGAACAAAGAAAATTAATGATTTTAAAGAATAGCGCAAAAATTCAGAGTCTGGTCCTACTACTGCATTGATGGCATTAAATCATTTTTTTACTTTTTCATTTTTTTTTTTACCATTTTTGTTTTTTTTATGTTTATGCTTTGGGTTTTCTTTATGTAATTTTTATTGCTACTTTAGGAAAGAACCATAATTATGTTATTTTGAAGTAAAAAAAACGGCTGTTGTTAAAATTATTTAACTTAATGTTTATAAACATAAAATTGCTATTATTATTGCTTTTCATTAAATCAGTGATTAACTGGAAATAAAAGCTTTTATCTTTTTTTCTCCACATAATAATGTTCAAATATGCCACTGTTACCCAAAGATTTAGGCTGTTTTGACAAATAAATAAACGAATAAGTGTAACTGACTATATTTAGATAAAATATTTACATAAAAGAAAAAAAAAACGTTAATCGATAAAGTGAGACTTATCTGGATTCACTAAGTGGATTCACTTATGAATGATTAAAATAAGTGACGCATTGCTATATATTGTTTATAACGCATGGGTATATTCAAACAAATACATTTGAGCAGGGTTTGTCTGTAAAGTTTAAGCTAATCTTTCTTTTTTAGATTGGTATTTTCTACCCGGCCTACGTCTTTATTTTTTTAAATGTAAATTTTTTATATCTTTTGTTTGCTGGTGGTTTTGATCGCAGGAGGAAATGTAACTTTTATTAAGTTATTGCGAGCAAGATACATCAACTAATCAAAGTGAAATAAAATATCTTTAAACGTATTTGTTGACGTTCCCGTCCACTTGGTGGCAGTATAGAGCTGCTAGTTTTGGAAATCTCACTACAAGAGGGATAAAAGAAGAAGTGATTTGGGAGTAAAAGCAATAGAAGA